TATTTCAAGATATAATGTGATAAAGTAAAATAGAATAACATTTGCAAGAGTGTCAATATTATCTTCAATTAGTAACTAACAATTATTGAATTTTGCATTATTTTTTACGTCTTAATTTTCAACGGAATATAACACAATGTATCTAATCTTTATATTATATATCTCTATATTCTATCTATTCGTCTTTTCGTTACATCTACATATACGTGTCACATGGAAATGATGAAACTAGAGATTTGATCAAATCTCTAAGGTAGCTGATCAATTCACAGAAGATGGTAAAATAACAACTCTGTGGGATGATTTCCCTGAAGAAAGTAAGTGATTTGATCAAATCCCTTAACTGTTTTAGTGAAAAGATGAAATAAACAAGTCAGGATTCGCATAACTCTATCAAAAGTCACAAATCAACAACGTGTTTTAATAAAAATAAATGAATATTATTATTTATTAATCATATTCACTAAAAATGTTTAATCACAATTGTTGTGGTTTCTTCAGAATTAATTTTTTGACTTTTTGTACAACAGTTGTTAAATTAATTCAGCGATGTCATTTTACTCAAGTTCATCCTGGATCTAAAAGTTAATCCTTTTAGTCAAAAAAAGTATATACTAAATCATGGTAGAAATAGTGTTAAATGGGAAACATAAATAAATTTTAATAACAAATATGTTAAACGAATATATTTTCTTCTTCTTATATATATATATATTTATTAATGAATTTATTAATAATTCGACAATTTACAGGCATTTATAATTTACTACCTAATAACACGATCATTATGAATGACTTTTCATTAAAATGACCCGAACAACCGCTTGATTACGCTCGTAGTAATTTTACCTATAATTGGTAAAAGCTCCCCGCACGATCTGAAACTATTTCATCGATGAATTCAATCCGTAGAACATGACTAAAAACACGAATATTATAAAGTTTCATGCTTTGTCATCGAAAGAGAAATCGATTAAAACCGTTGAATATTAATGGGTCATCAATTTTGTCAAATTTCGTTGAAAAGATTTCTTTAAAGACTTCAATTAAACTTCCTAATGAGATTGAAATGAGATTGATAAAAATATGGCTATAAATTATCTTTTAATACATTTTTTTATATGCAAAGAGAATCGACAAAAATTATCATTTAAAATAACTCGTTAAATATTTTAATTTTAATACTCAATTTGTTTACAAATATATTATAACAATTTAATTTAAATTAAAATAAAAGTAAAAAATAATGCTAACAAATCAAGAAAGAGAAAGAGAAAGAGAAAGAAAGAAGGAGCATAGAGAAAGAGAGAATCTCATGATTCTGCATAAGAGAACTTTGACGTTAACTCAGCAGCGTTCGTCAACGAAGGTTACCACCAAGTGCGCCGCATTAAATTACAGCAATGCGTCTCGAGTAGGTGGCTGGGGTGGTTGGGTTGAGTCGAGTACGAGGGTCTGATGTAAGCAGTCGGCACTTCCGCGAAACATGCAAATTCGGTTCTCCTTTGAACGTTTACTCTACTCACGTTGGCCAGGATTTCCGTTTGAAAGCCGAATTTTCCATCGGATATAACTCCAAACGCGATCTTCTTAGAAATGCGATAATAATAAATAATAATTTCCAGTTTGATCAAATTTTCATAACTGCAACTCTCAACTTTCCTTTAAATAATAATCAACGTTACGTTTTAATTTTTTAACTCAATTACGTCAAATCAATCCATAATTTTTGATAATTGTAGAACATTCTTAAAAGTAATAAATCATGTTTCCTTGCAATTTAATAATAATCAAATAATAAATAATACTTAGGTCATCAGAAATGATGATTGGACAAAGATGAGTTTTAAAGTAGGAAGGATCTTGATGGGATTACGTAGGGTTGGGAGATTCAGTGGGCTGAAGGTAGTAGAATGGAAGTAGAAGGTTAAAGGAATTTTTCAAAGGTCGATCTTGACGAGAAAGTTTTACGAGAAACGGACACACGAGATGACACAGTTCGATAGTGAATTCCTGGTATTCGCGAGTTTCTACGAGGCGAACGATGTCGTGAGTTTAAGAAGGAGGAAGGGAGGGTAGTTGAAAGGGGAATGGAAACGGGAACGGGAACAGGAATACTGTCTGTTGGTGTAAAGTCGACAAGTTTCTATCGATGCATAGAAAAGTCTAAGCGACCCCTAACTGAACGTCGACAACCAACCGAAATTTTAATTTATAGTCACAATTCTAAGTCTAGATCTTATCTATATACCGGGTATCCTATTAACAGTCTTATTGTTAGACTAAAGTTTGAATTCTAAGAAGCTAATCGTTAGGTAAACATTCAGAATTATTTCTAATTTTCTTGGGAATTTTTATTTATAAAAAGAGAAAGAAGTTTATCCATTTGTAAAATAGAAAATATATTGTTATATTTATTTATATTGTGAATTACTCGTATAATGTGTGGTTAATACATTGCACGTTGCTTTAATTAGAATTATATGAAAATTTATTGTTATTCGATTCATAAGTGAGATAAATTTATTATTTTTATTTTGTGTTCTATAATGTATATTTTTTAATAAGCTTTTTTTATAATATAAATATTAATTTTTATTTAATTATAATTTATAAAATTTTGTAATACAAGAATGCAAGATATCTACATTTTAAAATTATTACTTATTTTGAGGATAGAAAGGTCTGTCATTTTTAGAAATTTTTTTTAACATCAATCACGGTACATTCCGTGTATACAAAAAAGACTCTTAGAAACATATATCCTTCCAAGAGAGTATCGTACAATGTACGTAATGTATACTTTTCTCGTATGCGACTCTGAGCCGTTGCTTCCGGTCGGTGAGCTTTTCATAGCGTAAATAAGAAAGGGTAGAAGGGGATAAGGGAGAGGAGTGGTAAGAAGTAGAAAAAGAAAAAGAAGAAAAAAAAAGGAAAAAAGAAGGATGTAAGGCAAAGAGGAAGAGCACGCGCATACATTTTACAGCAAGTCAGTGACATGCGAGGACTCTTCTTACTTCTTCTACACCAAACATAAACACATTTCTTTGTGTTTCTCAACATTGAAGCAAGAAAACTTTAGAAGAGATATGCTCTTGAGAATTTACTTTTGCTTTTTTTAATTTTTTTTTACTTTTTTCGTTAATTCATGTCAGTGAACTGAGATTATTTTAAATATCAATAAATTTTAATTAAATATTGTAAGCTTCACATCGTGGTATGTTGTGTGTGCATGAGTAAGTATGCGAGATAAAATAATTGAAGATGTAGTGTGGAAGGTTCTAGCATGAATAAGTTGGGTTTGTATGTGTGCATGTACAAATTTTACAAATTACCCGACTTATTTGTTTTTACGAAATTTCTTATCAAAGATTTTTCTTTAGATTGTAAAGGATTACCATCTAAGTAGCATTTATAAATTCGTTTAGTTTTTAAGGATAACATTGAAAAAATGCAATTCAATTTAAAACAAAATATGACATATAATAATTATATACATTACATAATACATTACATATGTAAATAATATATGTATATAAGACAAAAATAGCTTATTTTACTACTTTACTATTTGACTACTTACGAAACTAACTCTTATTGTTTTCTGTGGCATTTGTTTGAACGTAATAATGGATACATAAATAGGTAATTAACCCTCATTGATTTTCTAAGGCATTTGTTTGAACTTAGAATTGGACAGATAGATTGATAATTTAGTTCAGTTCGCGATTCACCTAAGGCATTAAACGTATTAATAGACCCATACATGGCCAAGTAATAATTTCAACGTCGTTCGTTTCGGTAGCCAACGTATTGACAGAATTATTCGAGGACCAAAGTTCATTGACTCGATGTCGTTAATAAGCTCATGCTTATGCAAGTCCATCGGCTTCCGTACTAAGCTCAGACTCCTATTAGGTAGATAGTAGATCGTAGGCAAACAACGAGGACACCGAACTAACCTCCTGTGCTATTGACATCACCCTTGTCCGAGTAGATGCTCTCTAACTCCCTTCTCTCTATTCTCATATCAAAAGTCTATCGAAAGCTTGTAAAACAGAATTTTTTAGACCTACAAATTTACACTTTAAACGAACATTTCATTTTAGATCAATTATACTATTGTATCAACGTTGTTTACTTGTTTATACATCAATCAGAATTTAACATTTCAATAAAAAATATCTAAAAAGAGCTAAATATATCTCAGCTATTTTGTGCACATCCAAAAAATGTTCAAGGTTAAACTACGTTTTTTTTTTCTTAATATTTTTTAAATTAAATTTGACACATACAATCTCTCATATTAATATCTTTTTATTAATTCGAAATCAGATAATTACTTGGACATATATAAACAGACATACCCGACGCTATACATAAATGTATACTTTTGATGTTTCAATAACCACATTAATTATTATCATTAAAACATAACATGCGATAATGAAATCATCAATTTAACAAGTAACCCTCATTTCATTTCAAGATTGCTATCATTGTATTTGCCTCGGTAAAGTGACGTAAACGATTGTACTCAAATTTCAAAAGGAACTAATGAGTTTTTATGCTCAATGAATTCTTACCAAGCTGGGTTCACTTCGTGATTAATTAGTTGAATATTAAAGAGAATAAAAACGACCTTGGGTGCGTGAGTAGTAGGTAAATAAAGTCCCTCTTAATTGCTTCTCCCTTTTTTTCCTTACCTTTACTAACCGTAAATTGAAATCTAATAATGACGTAATAATTTTAGATATTTGCAGGAAGAAAAACCATGAAATACAAAAATAATAATGGTAAAGGAAAAAAATGCAAATTTGGCGAATAAAAATTCTTTGAGTTTGTATTACGAGTTTTGTTATCAGACAGACAGACAGACAGACAGTCCCTTTGATGTGTGCGTGTTAAGACTTTTCTTCCAATAAAAATAAAATATCAAAGATAGAAAGAAAATTCTTTCCACGAATACTCGATTGATCCTTTTTCGCTTTCTGTTTTAGATCTCCTCCATCACCAGCTTCTGCAGGGTAAGTAGACGTATTCCAAAGAGGTTCCTTCTTTTTTAAAAATCGCTTTTCTCGATGCCTCTCCGATATCTATATTCGTGTTATCTACATCTATACAAGACCTTTAGTATATACATATAATAAGGGTTGAAAACTCTTCCAAAAATAACTTTCCTACTGTCATATAAGATTTATAAACAATTTATTTAAAAATAACAACATCAACAAAAATATTATTATATTTATGAATTTCAAGGGTTTTGTTAATATCAGTAATAATAATTTTTATTATGCATGGTGGGATGTTTTTTTTTTTTTCACGTCAAAAAGTTAAAATTACTTGAAATACATCGTAAAGGGATTATTAAGTTCGTATTTATTATTTTTTTCTATTCATTGTATGCAATATAAATTCTCTAATAATTAAATGTGTGTGAAACTTATTTAATTAAGTTTTATAATTATTACATTTCAATGAGCCTTTTTATTTTTTTCAAACTCTAAATTTTATTAATAAAAGTAACATTGTAAATACGGTCAAAAGTTCAAATAATGCAAATCAGATATCCACAACTTATAATATATTATATATATATATAGCGTAATGAAAAGAATATCGGACGATTCGTATTATCAAGTTCATAGATTTTTCGAAGGTTTTTTACTCTTTACCCTTGTCTCCTTTTTTTTTCTTATTCCTATCGTCTCTCTTTTCTACTCTTTTTATTTTTCTTGCCTTTTTCTTCTCTCTCTCTCTCTTTTTCTCTCTCTCTTTCACGCTTGTGCTTTTCTCGAGAGTTCTCCAAATTTCAAGGATGGAAGGACAGGATGGAAATAACGATGCTCTCGAAAGGGAAGAAAAGAGAAGAAAAGAAAAGAAGAGGAGTGTTCTTTAGAGAGGCAAGAGAGAAAACAAGTAAAAGAAAGAGAAAAAGAAAAAGAAAAAGAAATCATATTTATTGCCACAGTATACTACCCTCTTTTTATATATATAACTATAATTTAATCAGAACAATAGAAGATAAGATAAAGTAACCAAACAATAACAACAAATACACAACAATAATTATAATAATTATAATAAAAATAATAAGCATAAAATATGATAAAAATATTTTTAATACGGAAAATAAAAAAAAATATAAAGGTTATTGTAATCGAAACGCGATAAAATAAAGTAAAAAAAAATAAATAGAATAAATCCAAAGATAAAGTAATGAAGGCAAACAACATCAATAATAATAAAATAATAATAAAAAGAACATTACACATAGAAGTAATTACAAGGATACAAAAATAGATTGTCTAATTCTATGATTTACCTCTTTTCATATTCCAGAAAAAGTGACTTTTATCGTTGAAAATGATTTTTTATAGTAGAAAACAATCTTTTACGAACTTTCTTTAATTGATCTCGGAAGTAGTTTAGAAGAAGGAAGAGAGAATAGGAAGGTACGAGTTAATGCGAACTGCTTATCGAGCCTAGGAAATCTTCTAGAAGCACAAACACGGTCATTTACCTCTCAGTTCGTTGGCTAAACTCTTAGAAAGTGAGAGAGAGAGAAAGAAAGAAAGAGAGAGAAAGAGTTTTCCTCTCAATGACGAAGTAGACCTTTAATTTTACCATTGTAAGTTTCGCTGGTTACATTGCGACTTTCTTCTCATCCAAGTCTCACCCTTCACCCCCATCACCAATCTTACTTTTACTACCACCCTTCTCTTTCTCTTTCTCTTTCTCTTTCTCTTACTCTATTTATCTATCCTTCATCCTCACAATGAAACCGTCTAGAAAGATGGATCTTCGAGAGTTATGAAGTGAAAACGAACTGTAGCTGTTCTCGACGAGGGTGCAAACACGACTACCTTTCGGTAGTTAAGATAAAAGTAGCTATAGACACTCCGGTACATAGTTTCCTTCTCGTTTGATAACAATCAAAATGATAAAAGGTTGAATTAACGAAGAAACCAAAGTAAGTAGCTAAGTATGATATTATATATATATAATATAGTATAATATATAGGTATCTCGGTTATGTTCTTTGTCTAGTCGATGTTAACGTAAACGATTCTGAATTTCTCAGTTGGAAAGTTTCAACGGAAGATTCAAGACTATCTTGAATTTATCTCAACGTGGGAGAACAACTCACCTCGGTATATCTATTCGTTTCATCCTTTAAAATCTACGAGATAAGGTCTCGGAAATTATGAAAGCTAAAAACGAACTGGAGAAATTAGAGAAAGAAGAAATTAATGAGGAAAGAAACGAAATAGAAAAAAATGCTAATGAATAAATGCTACCATGAAATTTAAGATTTTAGTCAGGTCAACAATTTTTGTAGAATTTAGATTTAGAACTATGATTTCAGAACATAGTTTTTTTTTATTCGGAATTACTTACATACAAATTCTTTCATTGCAATATTAAACCTTTAAAAATGCTATCACGAAATTTAAGACTTAAGTCGGATCAGACATTTTTTTACCCTCAAGTTTATTAATTCATAAACATATTTGAGTATTTATTTTTCAGAATCCAATTTTCAACTCAAAATTACTTACATAAAAATTCTGACACTTGATTATACCTCAAAATCAAACTTTAATAATTAAAATATAAAATCAGATGTGGAATAATTATCTTCCAAATTGAGTGTTAGATCTGTAATTAATTATTTGCGATTTGAAATTCGTAATATAAGAATTCATACGCGTTTGATTACATTTCTAAATAATAATTTATAACTTGATGAATACAATAGCAGATGGAAAAATGACGTTTCGAATGAATTGTCGAATTCTGAATGAAGAATTGATACTCGTGGATAATGAATTAAGTCCTGAGTAGCAAATCAAGTTCCAAAGTAACAGTAATGCGAATATGTTTGCGTCGAGAAAGTTTTGGGCTGCGGCAACTCGAGTCATCCCAATTGTGGAGTAGCCAAAACTCGAGTACTCGTACATAGGTTTGCTACTCGAACGTGTATATATATATATATAGGTATAGCCAAAGATGTATCCATCTTTGAGGAAAGTTGCTCGATTAGGGTTGCTTCGAGAAAGCTTTGGCGAAAAGAAGAGAGTGGAAGCGTCGAAAGAGATAACGACGATCGACGGCAAACAGGAGAAAAGTCGTAATGGAATGGTCTTTAGCCCTTCTTCGGTACTAGAAAATGTTAGCGAACTTTACCAGTACCTAAGTACTACTCGTACACCCACTGGTATAGGCAGACGGAAAGAATGAGAGAAAAAAAATAGAGAAGAGAAAAAGAAGGAGGAAGAGAGATAGAGTAACAGTTAAAGGAGAAGGTTTTGCTGGTTGTGAGAAGTTTCTCGCTTGTCTTCGTGTAAGACGAAAACTACTATCTTCTTTCTTCTTATCGAAGCATGTACTAGAAAGTGTTCGACTTTCCGAAAATTTTCCGCTTTCGGTAAATTCGATATTATATTCTCTGAGGGATATAAGCCAACAAGTATAGTAACGAGTTCTTCTCATCTTCGCTCCTCGTCTCGGGGGACAAGCGTTTCTCGAAAAAGGACTGAAAGCTTCCAACTCCTTCGAGTTTAGATTAATTGGCTTAATTAAAAACTTCGAGACTAGGTTTTGCACACACCAGATAGGAAGATACACAGATATATCTACAAAGTACTTTACCACAAACGTCATTAATTTGACTTAACGTAGGTAATGTTATGAGAACGTACCGTTCCTTTCTCTTCCACCGTTTACAATTAGTTTTATTCCAATGATAAATGTAATTAAATGTTTCTATTCCTCTTTCTTGATGATCTTCTTTTTCTTCTTTATTATGTCTGTTATTATTATCATCATCATCATCATCATCATCATCATCGTAGAATAGAGTCCTTTGGAGTAACTCCTTTACTCGAAGCGTAAAAATACACTTTACATTCGTCCAAGATTCCAACTGCGAAACTTTGCTTCCGTTGTTAAAACTTTAACGTTGGAAAAGTACAGTAACGCTTGAGAGAGAAAGAGAGAGAGAGAGAGAGTTTTCTCCTTAAGAACGACGCTCGGAGGATTTCGATGCCATGGAAATCGGACTTAAGGAAATATGATGTCGAGCTTTCCTCTTGCTTCTTCGCAAGAGGAACACCGATACCAAGAGGATTCTTCCTCTCTTTTCCATAGACGAGTTAGAAGAAAAAGTACTCGCTCTATTTTCTTACACTTTTTTATACTACCTTTCTCGGCTTATCGAACTTTTAAACGAGCAAGTTTAAAAGAGCTACTCTTGTATTTGAGCGTTGCATTCATTATTTCGATCGTTTCGACACTTTTTCTTTCTTTTAATTTCATTTTATTTCATTTCATTTTATTTTATTTTATTTTATTTAATGATCTTTTTCGAAATAAAAAGAAGAAAAACACGAATCATCGGAGAGGAATCGTTTATTTTCGTTTAAATAGGTACAAAATGTATTCAGTATTATTAATTACTAGATTGTGATTAATTATTAAACGATTTGTTTCAGCTTTCGGCCATCGTCGATGGAATTTACGCGCAAAACGGACACACTGCAGGATCGTTCACACGTTTAGCGAGTGATAGACTTCTAGTTGGTGGTGGTGCTGATGCGAGATCTTTGCAAGGTGCCAAAGGGATCAACAACTTTGTCGGCTGTCTAAGAAAGGTAAGTTTCCTCTAGAATTCAACAACGACGACGACGACGACGACGACGAGTATGAGAATGGAGTTGATATTTTGAAACTTTATCGTCAAGAGATCGTGCCTTCGATTCGATATCGTATTCGTGAGGAATTTAGACAAAGTTTACGAACGCAATAATAAACATTCCACGAAAATATATCGATTTAAAAAATTATTTATTTTCTTAAATATTGGCCGATAATTATGATATTGGTTTAATTAACCAGTTAACTATGGTTAAGTAACACGTTTCTTTGAAAAACGTGTACAGGTAGCTCTTCTACAACACGACATCCTATAACACGATTTCCTTTCAAAAAACCTTTGTACAACACTGTACTTTTACAGCCCCGGCGAGATTTGCCGTCTTAAAGATAGAGTGTTGCGGAAAGTATTTCTTTTCATCTCCATGGTCTGAAAACAAAAGTTTTAGGCTCATGGCTCTAGGTCTCATACAACACAGTTTCACATAACACGCCATTTTCTAGGAACCTGTCTACCGTGTTACAGGAGGGTTATCTGTATATACTTTATCGATTCTTTTTAAATTTTAATATTTCGTTTATTGAAAGATTCACAATATTTGATACTATAAAATTAGTATAGAAATATAAAATAAGATTAAGTGTTAAATTCGATGGTAAAATGAATAATTAATATTGTGCAAAAGTTTTCATAATATTCGATTATTATAGAAGGACAAATAAACGATCGCAAACAAACGCAGGGAGGCTGATTTTATCGGCAACGGGACAATCTCGCGTACTGCTGTCGGGCTTTTCTATCAAATTTACAACGTCGATTTTGACGTAATTCAATACGGTAAAATAATTAATCGAATATTAGTGGGAACAAGATGAATGTAATATGTCGATCGTGTTCCAATGTGACAGTTTGCCCACAAATCAAATTTATCAATGTATATAATATGTTAAGTCAATTTCGCATAGGAAAAATATTTTTATTACGTTACAGTATACTTTTTGCATCATTTTACAAATTTATATTATTTATATTTATTATAGCATATTATATATCATTATAAAAGAACTTGTTTCATTTTTATACAGATACGTTTATTTCTACGTATATTTAATTAATTATTTATTTATTTTCTTTTACAATAAAAAATTAATATATTTTATTATTATTATTATTATTATTATTATTATTATTATTATTATTATTATTATTATTATTATTATTATTATTATTATTATTATTACTCAGTAATATTATATTATTCAAATATATGTATATTATTTGTATATTATATTACCGATAATATTGATAAATTATATACATATGCATTTATTATTGTATATATTACAATTATAAATTAATTAGAATCTATGACCTGTGATCCAGAGCTTCCCCAAGTATAAATCTCAACTCCGTATGGGATAAAGTTACTAAAATTTGTAGTTTCGCAAAAATTAAAACTAAACTTAAAAATGAATTCGAATATTTAACTATGTCTTGAATATATGGTAAAATTATTTTCGTACATATATGTACTCCTAAAAATAATATGTTGAAATAAATTTTCTTTCTTATTTATTATCAGCGAACATTTAATCGTGTAATGTCAAGGCTCGATAAATAACAAAAATTTAAAAAGAGCTGACATATTCTTCAATCAGCGAACTATCATTTTCATTGAAATGGATTTCAATTAGAAACTGAATAGATATTTTGTTATACCGCGTGGCAAGTTGCACAGATTAAATTTTCTTTTCATTATAAAAAAAATACAAAATATCGGATCAAATTGTCGGGCGAACGTTAACGGCGATTTGTAATTCAACACGATTATTCTAAAGTTAAATATTTGTCGATCAAACGAATTGACTTTACGTTCACACACCGCAACTACTGCAATGGATGGAGACGTTCTTTGTTAAACAATTATCGTTTTCCCTTCATTTTGTCATTGTAAATACTTTCATCGTAATTCATGAATAGAAAAAGAGGAAAAGAGTGATGAACGAGGAATACACAAAATACAAGAAAGATTTATATTCTGTTATTATCATCAATGTTTCATGAGTATTTTCATCGAACTAAACTCTTGTCACACTTTTATCCGACTTTTTCTTTTTATTTACATACAGCTTTACAAAATAAATCCCTTAAAATTACTTTCCGTTGACAACAAAAAATAATAAAAAAAAAAAAAACACAAAAAAAGCTCGAATCCAAGTTTACAATGATTTTATATGAAACTAATGCAGAAATATTTACAAATAATATTTACTAACTACATATAATATAATATGATAATTTACTAATAATAAATATGATAAATATGAATTGAGGAACATTTATTATACGGTTTAAAGTAAAAATATAATTATAAAATCTTTTTTTTTAAGATATCTTCGACGAAATCGTTGAATAATGATAAAAAAAACGATCGAATTATTAATTGTTTCTTTCAGATAAAAACAAAAACAAGATATGACGTAAAAGATAAAAAAAAATGAGTTTTTCAATAAATTTATCAATTTCAAGTATATAGTCAACACCAGCGGATGGAAAGATGGAAGAAAGGTTCCGTACAAAAATAAACTTAAGTTTAAGGGATTAGAAATATCGAAGCCCCAAGAAAACTCGACAGCGGTCATTTTGATAAAATGAAATATTCATGTGCTCGACTTACTAGCGAACTTTCGTGAAAAATGTTAGGAGAGTAAAACTCGACACTTTTTTTTGACTATTTCCTCTCTATTTTCTACCTTTTTTCTTTTTCGTATCTTGTTCAGCATACACTTTTCACTGTTCGATATCGAAATATAAGAAAAATCCTTAGAAAACACCTTTCGTCTTAAGAAACAAAGTCAAAGATACAAAAGAAAAATAAAAGTATGATAAAAGAAATCTCGAATGAGGAGAAGTAATAAACTTGTCTTACGAACGAGTTACGACGAGGTTTGTACGGCACGAGCAGCACCCGGGTGCTACTTGTAATTTGTAGGGCGTTTCATCTGGGTGATTTAAAAGTATCGCGTGTGGGTGACGCTGCAAAGAGGGGTTGAACACTTTTTTTTCCCCCTTTCATTTTGAACGTCCTTCGTGTGTTCAAAGCTAGAACGAGAAAATAAAATAAAAAGAAAAATAGAGAAAGAGAGAAAGAAAGAATGAAAGATTTAATGGGAAAAGAACTCACGAATGGCGCCATTTTTCATCGACAATATTTCATTTATTTTCGTCGTTTTTGTTTTCTTTCGTTTTCTTTTTATTTAATTTTTTTATTTTATCTTCTAATATTTTTTTATTCCTTTTTTTTTTTGTTATTTTGTTATTTTTATTTTTTTTTTATTTTTTAATCTCGACATCAAAGAGAAACAGAGAAAACAAGTTACGAATTGTTCAGAGAATACAAAACGATCGAATAGATGCCGAGCATTGTTTACAGATATTGGATATTGGCGTTGGAGACGCGGAAAATAGGAAAGTGCGAAGGCTACAGGCAGGAGGGTGGGTTTACGAGAGTGAGTGGGTGAAGGTTTAGGGAATAAGGGAGTGAAGCATGAGAGTAGGTGGTAACACTAACTGAAGCAGGGAAAGCGTGCTTCAACTAAACCTACGCAGGCCCGTTTCGTTTTTAAATCGTTCAAAACGTACCTACGTAGTAAGTATATATCTATACCTATCTATATCTATCTACCCACCTATCTAGGTATCTAGGTATGTAGGTATCTACCGTTTTCATTTCATTCTATTCAAGCCAACTCGCTGTGTTATTTTCGCTTCGTATCAAAAAGCAATTCTCTAGGGAAATTCGATCCTCCTATTTTTTCTCACTTTTTTTTGGGAAGGGAGGGGGATGATTCTTCTTTTGTGGAATATTATTATTCGTTCATCGATATGTTGTTTCATTTAAAATTTTTAATTGCTGTATGTTTTTCAAGAAAAATTGCATACTATTTAAAATATAGTTTATGTTAATTTATTTGTTTCTTTCTTATTTTACTTAATGGAAAATAATGACTTGTTAATTTTTTACAATACGCAAACTATTGTTTTTTTTAATATTATTCTTACAAACTTATACGAGACTTTTAAATGTAATTATGTTTATTTACAATAAACAATTACCTATAATATTTTAAACAATACTACTAAGAATATTTTTCTTTTATAATCCTAATACGATGAATAAATTTCTTCGATATTTTAATAAATTTACAACTTGTCAATTATGAGATATTATTAGTAAAAAATGTGACATTGCCATCGATCAAATAAGCCAATCAGATATTCGGAAGAAATGGAAACGTCGACAAAGATGTTCATCGACATTTAATAGGTATACATTCATAAACGTATACATACATATATAAATACAAATTTCTTTGATGCTTTCAAGTTATCCCTTAGCAAACTGATTTTTACGATAAAAGCAAGTACAAGCGATCGTTGCTTTCGATAACAACTTTCAAGCGAGATAGATAGTTAGAGTGGGAGAGAGAGAGAGAGAGAGACAGAGACAGAGAGGTGATATCGGAGAATAGGATAACTGCTGTTGAAACGGGACTACCATCACCAGTTTCGTAACATTATACACTGTCGTAGCAATAAACGCAACAAGATTTATGCAACGCAGATAAATCGTCTTCTATGTTATCCTGCATCCCCTCCCACCTCCTTCACCACCTTCTTCACCTTCTCTTTTTCTTTTCTTTTATTCTCTTCTTCTTCTTCTTCTTCTTCTTCTTCTTGAACACCCTCTGCCAACTTTCAAGACTATCAGTCCTTGTCGTCTCGTTTTGCGATCGCCTTTTCCCTTTCTCTTTCTTTCTCTCTTTCACTCTTTCACTGTGCGACGTTATCCGAAAATAATTGGACGGTCGATTTATCACCTTCTCCCTTTCTCCCTTCTCCCTTCTCCCTAGCGTACTTTCAAGCAAGTAAGCAAGTAAGCAAGCAAGCAAGCAAGCAAGCACAACCCGATTAAATTCGTTTCCTTATCGTCTGGCTCGTTCGAAAAATAATACGTTAGGACGATTTTAACGGGGAGAAGGGGTTAGGGTGGATGGGGACGGTACAAAGGGAAGGGCCCATGTTGAGAAAATAATTCTCCCTGTTTTTCTTAGTTAACAAACGATCTCCCTTCTACTAACTCTTGATGGATCATTAATTGGTCAGATTTATTAAAACTTCTTCAAGGATCTTTGGACTAATTTAATATAAACTATTTATTTCCAACGTGAACAAATTTTTTGTTTCTTATGACACTTTTAATTATCGATAGAGATGTCAGTTTATTAATGTAAAACTTTTTACAAACATTTAAACAATTTCAATTTGATATTTTGTTAGATGAAAATGTTAAACTTAAAGTCATCACTGACCAGGACAATTGAAACTAATGTATTTTAGTTTAAACAATTAAAAATATTAGTATACTTACTAATTAATATAATTACTGTACAGTAACGTGTTTGCTTTACTTTAATTGATTGTTAATTAAGCAAAGGAAATACATATTACAATTTCAAAATATAGAATATAAATTAAACGAAATTCGAAATTCTGTTCTCTTCGAAATTCAACTGACTCGTAAACTTGTCCTCTATGAAAGTCAGGTAAAATTCTTTTATTGATTTTTGTTTTTATTACTTTTAGAAGAATAAATTCTATTAAAATATTATTTTCGTTATAAGTATGTAACCTTCGGGAAGTCATATGAACGAAAATCAATAATATAAGAATGTTAACTGACTTTCACAGAAGAAAACGAGTTAATTTATCGTTGGATCTCGAAGAGGATGGAACACTAGATTTAAACACCGTACTTTCGAACAACAATGTATATTTCTTTTGTTTAATTAATAATCAATTAAAGTAAATTGAACATAGTACTGTACTCTACTAACATATAGGATTGTTTAAACTACAATACGTTTGTTTTAAAGTTTCTAAGGAACTTAATTATCTTTCATTTTCTTATAAGAGAATAACGATTGCGTAAAAAAAAAAAAATGCAAAAATAAAAAGAAATTAAAAAATAATTCTCATCTTAAAGGTGGAATTCAGCGCGGAAGGCGTCAAAATGGAGTTAATAGAAGCTGCTAGAAGTGGTGCATCGGGTGCCGCAGCTTGGGGCAAAATGGATTTTCACTGTCGCGAACCAAGAGCCTCGGATCCGATCACCTTCACTACCAGAGATTCTCATCTCGTGAGTATATTATATTTCTATTTTTATTTATGCAAATATCCAAGATATACGAATAAATAATGAAACAAAACAAAAAAAAAATATATATTCATATAATAATAATTAATAATAATAATGATAGAGACGCATAATCGAAGTTGATATAATATTTAACACATAAATCTAATTCATCCTCATTCAATTAAATTTTCGCGTATTAGATTATATTCGTATGTATAACGGCACTTTTTTCTATCATCTATCTATCTAAATGTATTTCGTGTTAATCATCGATTTGTCAATTACACCTGTTATACCTTTTCGTATTTCATTAGAAAATTACACAGAGTGTTACAAAATATATGAACATAGCTTTAAAAAAAAAAGGATGGTTTTTGTACGCTAAAGTAAGAAAAATAAATTCATGAAATTATACACTTCCTGATATGTCCCGGTTTTCGAAGTATAGCCATTTTTGTCTTTCAATAATTCATATAACTTTTCCGACTGTTTGCTTCAACTAGCTTCTTACTCCACGTTATCGGTAAATTCAAACGACACCCGGTTTTTTTTTGGAAGAGGAAAAAGTTCTCGAAGCAAGAAAACCAACGATGATAACTTTGAACAGTTTGTATGAAAATTATGCAACGACGCGTGTAATAAAAAAAATTGATACAACTCGTTAATCAAGGGTTATATCGAGTATACGATTATATGTGAATTTTGTTTTCCTTTTTTTAAGCGTAGAAAAACCATTATGGAAGTTATACTGATATTTTTTGAAACATCCTGTATAAATTTAACGACGACAAATGATTCTCACTGACATCATCTCATTCATCAACTCTTGTCACTCTCTCACACAATGACACGAATACACTCATTCGTATCCATATATTATATATAATATATAATATACGAGGTATATATATATATCACGAACTTACAGTCGATCGATCGATCGAATCAAGTCGAATAGAATTGATATTCTATAGGACTCCTATCTATGGCTTGACTATGATACTCTTTCAATATCGATGAAACCTAATAAATAATAATTTCAAACTAATATTCTGAAAATGCACTTACAAGAATGTAAAATATTATTTAAAAAAAAAAAAAGACATTTAATAATAATAAAAAAAAAAAGTACGTTCAATCTTATCAAATATTTTATACGATCGTATACCATGTATATATACTATCATTAAATTAGAAATATTCCGTAGAAATATATGTGTCTAACATTTGATCACGTGATCGATATTATTTTATTATCAATATTATTCTAGCAATAGGGTGATACTGTTCTTTGATATTCGATGATAAAATCAAAACTAGAGAGATAAAAAAAGATTGAATATATCTAATATGGTGCTAAAATCAAACACTGTTCAATTTCGTATAATCCCCTCTTTCTATTTTTTTGTGTAAGTACGCGTCATCACCGAGACTTTTACAACTCACTTAAAGCTCAAAGTCGAGGGCTTTGAGTTTACAAGTACGAAAGATACGTTACTCTCTCTCTCTCTCTCTCTCTCTCTCTCTCTCTCTCTCTCTATGATTCTCTTTCTTTATCTTTTTTCATCCTTATTTATCCTCTCTGTTTATCTTGTCTGTAACTATCTTTGTCTGTATTCCACTCTTGGAAGCACATTCGTAGTCTTCTCGCATGTAAGCTGCCGTTTACGAGCGTGACCGTTCTTGGATTATGGTCCCCATCGACACAGCTCGTATACGACTCCGGTACGTTAACCGATGATGTCTTTCCTCTCTTCGCTCCACTCGTCGCGTTCCTTCTCCCCAAGCCAACGATGAAATGACAACATCCTTCGTGTCCTCGCATATTCCATCTCACCTCAACTCATCTCACCTAACCTCACGTCTTTTTTATGAGCAGATCTTCCAACCGTCATCTTGTAAGAAGAATGTCATCAAGATCTATCTCTCTCTCTCTTCTTATTTTTCTTTCTTTAATTTTGGTGATATCTAACATAAGGAAAGTATTTGTTACTCTTTTTTTTCTTTTTTTAAAAGGAGAAAAAAAATGGTTCAATATTTTATCGTTGAACTTTGCTTTTTATGATCACTTATTCCTTATTCTTTTTATTTTCTCTCCATTTCCCGTCTTCTTTTTTTCTTTCTTCTATTTTATCAAGGATTTTCAAGATTAACAAATTTATCGTCAGGTGAACATTCCTTTAAGCATGTTTAAGATTTAAGAACAAAAAGAAAAGAATATTCCCAAGAGGTATGGTGAAATACGGGATGTTAGTAAATTATTCCTTCCCGTACGAGAGATTGAAGTAAATCTGTTGCAATGCGAACACTCCAGGTCGTCTACTCTTTCCCTTTCTCCCTCTCACTCTCTCTCCCTCTCTCTCTTTTTCTTTTTCTTTTTCTTTCTTTCTTTTTCTCTAAGCGGATGATACGCATGGCATCTGTTCCCTCTTTCTTTCTTCCCTCTTTTTTCGTTTCACGTCGAAAAGGATCTAACCGATCCGATCCGATCCGGATTGCGAATACATCCCCAGAATGAGAATATCCTTGAAAGAAAGTAAGAAAAACATACTACTCTCGTTGGAGTTATTTTCTATCGAGATCTCTTGTTCACAGTCAACACATACATGGAAAGAAAGGGAGAGAGTTTTTATTAGAGTTGGAAAGAAATTACTTATAACGATCTGATAAAAAAGAGATAATGGTGTTATATAAAAAAAAATGATTTATAAATCGAATTGGAAATTTTACGTGATGGAAAATAAATGATTTATGTAAACGTACACATAGATAAATGATATTGAAACATTTAATGGTATACGTAATATTTTCTTATATATTTGTTTTAGTTCTTTATACTATAATGACAAAAAATAAATAATCTATATGTGGGAATCCATTCAGAAATATTATTAAAATGTCTTGTAGTATATAGATTTTTTAAAATATATTGGGTTGGCAATTAAGTAATTGCCGATTTGTTCAATGAAATAAAACATTTTTTTTTTTTTTAATATTGAGGTAAAAACAAAAAACATTAAATAATAAAAAAATTTAATATCAAGAAATAAATGATTCAAATGTGGAAATATACGCATTAATATTATTCAAATATTTTATATTAAATATATAATAATATATTTGTACATTTATTCTTTAAATTTTTGTCAATAAATTGACCATGTTTACCACACATTTAAATATATTTCAAATTTGTATCACTCAAAATTTTAGATATTTTTATTCTCTCATCATTCATTTTTTTTGTAACTTTAATAAAATCTTTTTACACGTTACTCAGATATACGTACCTGATAAGGGTTCATAAGGGTCAAAATAACTACTCGAAACGCGTCTTGCACATTTAACTTCGTTGCTTACTCGACTTTCGTAAAGTTGCCACAAATAAAGAAAGAAAGAAGGAGTAAGAGAGTCCTTCTTTTAGTACGCGAGTGAGATTCGAAAGAGGATTAAGAGGATAAAAAAAAAAAAAATTGAAAGAAGCTCGTTAATAGTTGAACTCTTCGAGAAACTCGAGTAATGTTAAAGAGGACAAAAAATCTACTCCATGTAATGTAAACCATGAAATTTACGAATGAAAAATAAAAAACGAGATAGAGAGAGAGAGAGAGAGAGAGAGAGAGAGAGAGAATGAGAAAAAAATAGAACATTATAAAAAAGAACACATTTAAATATCTACTAAAAAGAAAATCCCACATTTTATGATTTTCGATACAAAAAAAGAATTTAAATTGTAACAAATATTTTTTAAATTTTACATCTTATTTTTTATTGATATCTATTTTATTTATAATCCTATGATTTAAAAAAAATATATATATATATATAATTCCACACCAATTCCTCGTACAATTTCGTTTCCATGAAAACAGTGAAAGGAAGAAAATAGGAAAAAAAAAAAAAAAAAACAAGTAGATATGTAAATACAATCGTTGAACAAAAACTGTCGGAAGTCGATATCTCAGAAAGTAACTTTTGTCGCGTATAAAATTCATTCGCACAAACCCACAAAAGTAAAATAATATGAACAACAAAAAACAAATAATATCGTACATACAATAAATAGAAAGGAAAAGTAGGATGATAAAGTGGAATAAAAATACAATGAAGAGAAAAAGAAAATAGAAAGGGGGGTGAGAGGAGACAGAGAGAAAAAATATAAAAAAAAGAAAAAAAAAATAGAGAGAAAAAAAAAAGAAGAAGAAACAGCAATGGAAAACAGGGAAAAGAGAATAACAATAATGGAAAATAGAAAGAGAAAGGAGAAAAATCGATATAAATGGCGGAAGGGAAGCGAACGTAATTCACAAACGAAACGAGGCGCGACGTTTCGCAGCTACGTGACGAGGATGTTAAAGCTCGTCCCCCCTCCTACTCCCCTTTCTCTCACTCTATCTCTCTCTTTCTCTCTCTCTTTATATCTATCTATCTATCTATTTATCTCTCTTTCTCTGTCACTCCTATTCTCTCAAGTTGACTCGCCGTCTATCACGGAACATTTTCGAAAAGTCCTTTTTCTCCTAAGGCCCCTACCATCACCTCACCCCATCCCACTTTATAACCATCCTCCCTTTCTCTCCGTCAACGTAGTGGAAGACGAGATAGGAAAAGAAACGTTCATAAAAAGATGTGGGAAAGAGAAAGAGAGAGAGATGAACTGTCGCATAGATAATTTTCCTTTTTAAAACTATTTTCATAATCTCGGAATAAGTATCGTATAAAATATAACATAATTTTTTGTCAAAGTAGAAAGTTAATTTTTTTGTTATTAAACGAACGCACACATCTCCCGTGATCGTTTCGATTAATTTTTCTACCTTTCTTTTTCCATTCTCTCTCATTCTCAAATTCCTCTCCTACCCTTTCGACCTTTTTCTTCTTCGTTTTTTTCTCTTCCTCTTCTCGCTTTTCCAATCACTCTGTCGGTATTTTTATTCGAACGCGAATTCACCTAGTCCCTTCTCCCTTCCCGCCCCCTCTCCCTCTCCCCCTCTATCTCT